AGGCATACAGCTGATTTTGGTTTAAGTCCTAGTATTATAGCCAGTTACATTTATTTATTATTCTACCTATTCTCGAAAAATAATGCGCATTAAATTTTAAAATTTGAAGGACATAAGGAGTATTATTTTATGGGAAGAGTGTTTTCGTCTAGCGTTCTTATTATCACTTTTCCAAAGAATTGCAGGGGTCCATAGATCAACCAGAGAAAAAAATATTCATTTTGTTCCGAAACAATGATCTAATTTGAATTTTTATTTTCAGTTTAAAATATACGAAAGTGAAAGTCTAAATTATATGATCATTTATCCAGGACAGAATGAGTACATCTTTCATTTCAAAATAAGAATTCTAATGATGAATATTACATATAACATGGTTGGCAATTATTATTTCGGGAATACGGGGGTAATACATTGTTACCTGTTCAACTTGTGCTCATTTGAGTTTTTAGTTGGAATGCGCACATATCCATACTTACATTAATGATTGATTAGCTATGGGGAAAAAATCGTATCATTGGAACACTTGTGTTGGCTTAGGAGCATTTTCGTGTTAATTATATACTACTTTTTATTTTTTTTATTATTTATTGCATTAGGGTATACACGTGTATTAAAGAAATAATGATTGAGTCTTTCAGTTTCAAGTATAATACTTTTATTGCTTCTAAAATAAAATATTGGCACTGTTCAAAAAAGAGCTCATTATTATTGATATACTTCCTCCCTTTCAAATCAATAAGCTAACTTTCCTTTTTGTGATGTTTCAAAATTTAGTCCCATTTAATATATTAACATTAATCTTATCTAATAAATTCTCTAATACACTGTCACTACTATGACTAAAATTTGAAATATTCAATTGAATCAAAGTATCCAACTACAGATCTCACCATATTAATTAACAACCACTAATCATTAATATGAACATATTAATTAAATGAATTTTTCAAAACTAACTATTTAAATTAACTATGTTACCCATTTTTTTTTCTTAATTTCCATATGTGGGTCTATTGAATTAGAATGGAGGGAGTATGTTATTAAAAGTAAGTAAGGAGAGATAAAGATATAATTAGAAAAATATATTTAATTTAATGTTGCAGTAGAAGTTAAGTACAATAAATAAACAAAATCTTGGTTCACTATAATGCGACACGAAGAAAAAACGGAGGACGGAGATAATCTATACGTCAATGTCTTCGATCTACATAAACACATGCCAAATTAATTCATGGCCAAGTTTCATGTCATCATCTCATGTCTCCATTTACTTGATCATCACAATATCTGGAAGATGATACCATTTCTGTGTTTTGTCGAATCCTAATATGAATCCTCAAAATATTGTTTTTTTTAGGTTTGTTTGTTTTTGTTTGTTCGAAATCATCATAGTCATCTGGAAATTGTTTCTCACGCACGTTTTTGGATGTTGACTCCTGTAATCCATCCGAATTAATGGCATATATATACCCACTATTTTTATAAATCTTTCCGACAGTCGATGCATCAATTAAATATAGCACTCAAAATGTCCCACGGATTCATGAATTTATAAGGGTTTTTCTTTCTTTTTTTTTTTTTTTTAAAATAAGTTTCACTTCTTTCTTGACAGTTAAATAATTGAGTAGTTCTCTATTATAGAGATCATGATACAGTAAGGTAAATCCTCATAAATTAGGGTCTGAAAAAATAGATCGATCATGCATTAAAACTTATTTCGTCTCGGTGGTGAATGGTAACCTTGTTTTGGCGTTATTGTGGAGAAAAGGTCAACTGCCTCACATTTATTTTTCTCCTGATATGATTACAACAAAAGGTTATGATACCAAGTTTAAGTGGAATATGTATAGTAAAAAGCGTGCTTCCACTTCCTTCATAAGTGGTCTTGCACTGGAAATTCGATGTTGATATACCAACAAACCAAATATGTAACCAAAGTGGTTGTGATGGAATAAAAGGGACTCTTCCACCCTTAATCATAGGTCGAGTTAGGGTTCAAATCTCGTCATGGACATGGAGCAATCTTAAATACTTTGGCCAGCTGTCCCACCCATTGAGGTGCCAACAATTCAGCGATGGAGATTAGTCACTGTTGCTGATGGTGAACACCCTGCAAATATGAAAAAAAAAAACCAAATATGTAAATTACCGACCAAGTATATATTCATTTCACACGTCCAAAAAAAAAAAAAGACACAAAACAGAGTTATATTTATTCCCATGTTTTAGATTAAACCAAACCTTTTTCTTTTTTTAGAGAAATAAAGGAAGTATGTTTTTAAGAGTGATCCTTTGATCCCTATCAAATTCACTAGTAAGCTATTTCGTCAAATCGAAATTACGCATCTCAAAAATGAAAATGTGAGGTCTTAGTTAGTAGAAAGGCCAAAACTTTTGGGTTGGTTTGCTTCAAAAGTGAGTGGGAAAAGGTTTTATTGGGTCTTCACAATGTTCATATTGTTGTACTAAGAGATTGGGCATTTTGAGAATGGAAAATGAGTAAGGCCATAATCCAATGATCACCTCAAGAGCGAAGGTGCACTTCAAGGTAATTAAGAAGACCAATTTTGGCCCGTAGCAGAATTGCAACCTAGTAGTGGAAAATTAGTGTGTTTCTAGTAGGTTTCTCCAAATAGAGGAACAAAAAATGGTGGAGGATTTTCTTCTAGTTAGAGGTTGACGTGATTTATAATTATAATTAGAGGTGTCCAGAGAAGTCTAATCATGTTCATTCCATCCCGTGATGATTATTATCATCATGTCCTCCGAAAAGAGTTAATCTAGATTAACCGTGAATTAATTTGAGCATGTCGATAATGTATGTTTATAACATCTCATGATTTCTGTAAACAAGAAAATTATTGCATGTTATGAAGTTTGACAATTGATTGGAAGAACGGCCCTAGTTTATTTATTCACGTTTTACCGTGCATTGTGTGTGATTTTATTTAGATTATGACCGGCCCTAGTTTAATTTTTTCTTAATTAAAAAACTGTCATGATTTTACTAGTATATATGTGTGTGTGTGTGTGTATATATATATATATGTATGTATATTATAAATCTAGAAGGAAATGGTAGCAATCTGACAGGTGAGACCTTCACCATTTATGTATAAGAACAAAAGTACTTCTATATATCAATTAGTATAGCCACTAGAGAATATTTAGTCAATATTTTATCATTCAATAGAAACAAATATTGCCTTGTGACTGTTAAGATCAATTTCCCCTAGTCACCATCCCCACAATATGATGTGCAACATTGTCATCATAACTAAACAAACATTTGTGGACGTCAATTTTTTTTTTTAATAAAAAAACATTGTGCTCGCCTCTCCAAATTTATCGAGCACTTTTGTCCATCAAGTAGTTTAAGTGCTTAACCAATCATCATACAGTTCCGAGGATGTTTCACAAAATCATTAACTGATTAACTCGATGGGTGCTACAAGAACAACAACGTTTGTGGTGCATAAATTCAACGAAGTTATAATGTTTTATTTATTTTTCTTTTGTTTTCAAATTCCAAAGCAAATGATATTGTAGCAACAAAAGGTAAGTTCTGTTCGTACACAGTAGAATTTTTTTTTTCAACCAGTCTACGTTGCAAAAGACCTTGCAAATAATTTATGCCTGGGAGGAACTTTCATGATGTTATGGACAACGTTCGTCCAACAGATCACTCACTATACGCATAAAGTAAAACCCATGTCCCATATCGCCATGGTGGAATTAATCCTTTTAGCAAGGCATTCGTGTAAATTGTATGAGTATAAATATTCAGTATTAATATATTTTAAAAAAGTTCAAACGTAGTAGACTATTTTGTTATCAGGATGAACCAGCAAAATTTTACAAGACATCTTATAATGTATTTCTGTCTTAGGCACCGTTTGATAATCACTGAAGTCTGAATCTGAACACTTAACACTTAACACTGAAGTCTGAAGTCTGAAGACTGAATTTACATTGTTTGATAAAAACGTTTAAATTTGATGTCTGAAGACTGAAGTCTAAAGTCTGAAGACTGAATCTAAATACTCAGGTTTGAAATTTATTTAAAATTTTAATATCATTAAAATTGAATTATAAACAAAATTCTTTTAAATAGAAAAATAAATAATATTTTGTTCTAAATAATATAATCATAATTTTAAAATAAGTTTTTGGTACATATAATGAAAGTAGATATTACACTTGGTAAATAATAATATATAATTAAATTTAGATTATTACATATATATGTATACCTTGTTATTTAGCAAATTTCATGTATTAAAATTAGTTTAATTTGACTTTGAAAGTTTGAGATCTTTTATACTCATAGTTATTTTGTGTAGTTATTCTCATGTATAATATTAAATGTTTCAAATTCTAATATGCTTAGGATCCATCCATTATATTTTATACAAATGAAATGAATAATGCTTCTTAATTTGTTTGGGTTGAAACGACGGAGAACGAAAGCGAGTATATTCATATACTTGGAAATTGTTGAAAGTGATGATATAAAACCTAATCATTCGTGACAATCTTGAAAACGTTACTTTAAAAAGATAACTAGGATACTAGGATGTAATAAAGCTAAACAATCCCTAAAATATTGAAATGTGGAATGATGACTGGACATTCATCATGCACAATTCAATATGGCTTTAATTCTTTAACTTAGACAAATTAATTTAATTGAGATCGATGCATGGGAGCTCTTTCTTTTTTATTTCTTCCTTTTTTCCCCTTAAGAAGATGAACAGATTTTGTAAGTCGATCTTGTGAATTTGATTGATACACTTTTCTTGATATAAAATAAAGTTACAGGATGAACTAGGATAGGAAACCCTAGATGAATGGTCCGTCATAAAATAAAAGTATATATTGGTATGATATTAGATAGTCTAATAATTTAGTTGAACAAACAATTCTTTTTTTTTTTTTTTTGGTTTTCTTTGGACATAAAGGTACATTCAAATTAACTAAAATATCAATCATCAAACTATCAAATGCGTCGTAATTTGCCTGAGCATATTTACCATAAAAAGTTCATTCATTATTTTCGATGATGATAAATTGGACCAATCAATCCAATATATAGAGTACAAGATGTTAACAAACGTTGATTGATTGACATTGTTATATAGACAGAAAACAAACCCATCAAAGATCATCTTCTCTTTAATGAGGGCTCCATGCACTAATATAATCTCATCAGCAATTGTTTCTTTTCTTCCTCCACATAGGGAGAATCAACAAATTATGTGGTGGATGGCCTAATTAAAGCTCTTTGATCATCATATTAATTAATTATTGGGTTATCATGATCCCATATAATTAATTTATTATGATGATCATTTTCCTTGAACTCCTCCAACTTCAGTGTGACCGTTTGCTGTTGGAGTTGTACATGTGATGCACTCCAAATGAACTTCTTCTTTTGCAATTTGATTTAATTTTTCTTCACTCAACCGGATTTTGGTTTCTTCGTTCTTACCCCATAAGTAACTGTACAGGCCAGCCACTAAGATTACTGACCCCAAAATGCTGTTAAAAAAAAAAAAGAAGAAAAAAAAGAAACCAAGTCAATCTTCATTGAACTTCATTATGATTGCTAAATACACACACACACACACACACACACACACCCACCTTCCCCAGTGAAGGGTCTCTCTGAAAATAATAGCAGAGAAAATGCCAGTTAAAATGAGGGCTAGAGGGCTGAAAATGGCAGTATAGACAGGCCCTTTCTTGTCCACAACCCATACTTGCAACCAATAAGATATTCCAGTGACCACAACCCCCTGAAATGCAAAGATTAATTAATTTTATTAGTTAGCATAAAATCACATATGAGTGATATTATTTTGGTATATTATAAATTGAGCTTAATGAAGTACAGTGATCTGGTAATATTAATTTTACTTAGACAAGTAGATAAGGAGATAAAACAACAGAAGAAATCAGGAACATAAACTTATGATAAGGACGATAAGATGATGATTTTGATGGTAGCAAGCCGCTTTATTCTTTTTGGTGCTCTCCACACAACATTACATATATTATCTAAACATTTAGGCACAATTGGGATGACAAAGATTAGCATATATATGATTATTTACTTCTCTTTTCCCTTATTAACTATTAAAATTTTGTCTTACCCAACCGAATTTACTACTGGATTTGTTCCAGAACATAATCTGATTCCCTGAACTATTTTAATTAGGTTTCAAAATAAAGCCTATATGTAATGAGAAGAATGTACTACAACTAAGTGAGAGTCTCTACTGATGCTGAAAGTGAAGAAAAGTGAGAATTAGCAATATGTTTTTTTTTTTTTTTTGCAATCAAAAATTGGATTGTTTCAACTTTGCTACAGGATCATAATTAAATATGATGAGAATGAACCCACAAAAAAAAAGTTAATTAGTAGTTGTTTAATGCATGAATCACTTTTTACATATACCATGTTAAATTGATCACCTGTGGACACGAAGAAGCTTTTCAGTTCTTTTCTTTGCCTAATTAGACTAAAAATTAGACACAAAGTAATAATTTATACTTGATTGTGAACCCTGGATTTTAGTGGAAATTAGATACCTTAACGAGGAACCATGACAAGATCCCCACCATAATTAAAAAGTTTTTGTCTAAAGTAAAGCAATTAAAAAATGGCATATACTCCAGAACCAATCCAATCTTTCTTTTCTTTGTTTTTCTTTTTTTTTTCCAAAATAATATTGAAAGAAACAAAAGCCATAAAAAACTTACACAATAAACAACTGAAAGAAGATTGACATCCCATCCCAGCTTCCATGCTGATATGTCCCTCTCCACCGCCGCGCCGTAAACCGCCGATATTATGCAGCTGAAACAACACTGGATTGTCGTGAACCGGAGTTTCGCCGGATATTCCTTAAGAATTGGAGCCTGGAATAATAAACAAAAATAAATACATAAATAAGGGATCTTTTTCTTTTTCTTTTTTTGGAAGAAATATTGATGAAGAAGGAAAGGAAATATAAATGAAGAACTAACCTGCATGATGAGCCAGCAAGACCAAGATAAACTTGATCCAAGCAAAAGAATTGCACCTTTGATCCATTCTTCTCTAGTGTAAGCTCTTCCAGGATGACTAGAGAGTTCATGGCCACGATCAGCATACATAGGAGGACCTTTATAGAAGGTCATCACCATGGCGCCCGAAAGACCGATAACTGTACCGGTAACTTTGGCTATTCCGTTCCATTGTGTTATATTTAGGGTTTCAAGCCTGAAATATTAGGGAGAAAAATAGTTAATTGTTTTTCCTTTTTATTTTTTTTAAAAAATTGACTTAATTAATAATTTCACAAAAAAAAAAGAATTTATTTGTTTTTTAAACCTTAGAGAGACAGCCAAGATGAAGACAATGACTGGAATAGTGTTAGCCATGGCTGTAGCAAATGTAGCTGAAATGTAATTCATCGCATAGAGGTAAAGATTTAGAGTTGCCGTGACCCTACAAACAATTTCAGGAAAAAACAAGAAAAATATTAATACCAAAAAAAGGAAAAACAGAAAGAAAAGAGTTAGCTAAACCATGATAACTTGTACGTTCCTTTTGTGTTACTTGAACAATAAGTGATAAAAAGAAGTTGGAAATTACATGAACACGTAAGATAAATAAATAAAGAAAAAAAAACATACGTACCCAACTAAAGAAACGAAAAAGATCTTGCAAAGGATTCTAAATGGTATCGGATGAGTAGCCTTCTTGCTGCAAAAGTAGACAAGGAAAACTTTGTTACTATACGTAACAAAATTGAGAAAACGTAAGAAAATCGGATCATCGAACTAGGGAACGATTGGTTCAGTGAAGAGGTCGACAAACTAAGTGTTTTGAAAAACTAACGTGACAAGAAATGAAACCATCATAGGGTAATCATGATTGGAGTTTAAACTTCATAGGGAACGATCTTTGTAACAAATCACAAAGAAAGACGTAAAAGTTTACCCCCTTGTGAACAAAAAAAGTGTGGAAAAAAAAAAGAAATTTCATACCTTTCTAAAAGAAAGGCAAAGGGAGCCAAGACAAAGGTGGCCATTGCTTGTCTATAAGCCACAAAAATGGGAGGTTTCATCCCCTGAGTAACTGCGGCTTTGGAGAAGAGAGATTGGCCAGTGTAGATCAATTGAATAACAACCATTACTAGAAATGGCTTGTTATTCTCAATGGCAACCTTGACGCATTGCAAGAATGCCTTCATCATGATGGTTGATGATGTTGTTGTTTATAATAATGAACTTTGCCTTCACTTTCAAATGTCTAATTGCGATTGAACCCAAATGCGAAGTGGTATCAATTTATAGAGAGAAAAAAAGGCACACAACAAAAGAGAGAGGGGCAAGAAATCTTATAATTTCGTATACATGGATTTGTGCACATACTTTTCAGAAAGCACAAGCCCAATCGCCATGCACACTTTTATTTTTATTTTTATTTTTATTTTTTGAGCCAACTTTAGTGATGTCAATAATGATGCTCCTAACAAATGAAAAATGGTATTTTCTTTGGGTGGGAAACAACATATGTTTAGGTAGCTTACCATGTATCGCTCCCGGAGCAAAAAGAAGGGCTACCCTATCTTTTCCTTTTTTTTTTCCCATAAAAATATCAGGGCACTTCAAAGAGTATAGTATCATGTGTTACAAGTCTCGTACGTTCTAGAAAACTTAAAATTTTCTAAACACTGTCTATAATAGATTAGCTATCACCATAATTTATATCTGCTTTATAGAAATATATAATCCATACAACGTTTTTTTTTTTTTTTTTGGTGTACGTGAAGGCATTACGTATATTGTACAAATGGGCAGTTTGTTGCCTTTTATTACACATGTCGTATCATTAGTTTTTGATTGTGTAACGCCCGTTTTGAACGATGAGTAAGTGTTGTTAGGGTAAAGGAAAAGATAAAAATGGATTCTTACTTTGGGAAGAACAAAAAATTCAAAGATTACAAATTGTATCGTTATGTTTCTAAGACAAAAATGTGTTCGAACAGAACTATTATTATGTGACGTCGAATACAATTTTTTTTTTTTCTGAGATATAAACATGACCAGGCATATGACGGAATGACTAGAGATATACGACGGAACACACATGAGACAAAATGAAAGTTGAAACAATTTGGAAAACTGAAAAACTGCCCAAACATATAAAGGGATCAGTAATCCTCTGTGTGCAATACAAATAACAGAAAGTGTCAGAAATGACCAAAAACACGATGTAGTTATACATCATTTTGAAGGCAAGTAGATCAAACGTGCAAAAATGCACATATTCAATTTTCGCTAATTTTCTTGCCCTTGGGGGTACTGTATTATAATGATAATTCTTCCTTTCCATTTAAAGTTGGTCTTTCATTGTTTACTCTACCTTGTCTTCTTCCTCTTCTTGGTTCAATATTTCAGACCAAAGTTTCAAACATAATTATGGGAACATAAGGTCCTTAATCAATAATGATATTTCTGTTTCCAATAAGATTAAATTTTTACAGTTAAGCTTATGCTTCCTTTATTGAAATTGAAAGGACTATGAAATAATTAAGTCGATGGCTTATTTATTCATTATTTTTTTCTGAATACGAATGACTTATTATTCTCTTAAAAAGAAAGTGGAAACTTCTGATAATGTTAATTAGTTCTACAAATCTATTAATCGTTTTAGTATAACGTATATCTTTCGGTTTAATAGTTGTAATTGAGAAAATTCAATCAACATGTTGCCGTTACTCTTCAATTCTTTGTTAAGATCATCATGTAGAAGTATTCTCATCGACTTTTAATTTTAGAGATTATTCCATTAATTTGTAAATTTTACATCTATAATTCTACTCTATGTACCATAAAAACTGTTTGCAGCACATGTTATTTTCTCTTTATTTACAGCTTGTAATTTTTAATTTACCCTCTGAAAAATTATTGAAGTACTCCTTGCTTCTGTTTACAATCATGCATGCTGAGTGCAGGCCTCATGTTTTTTGAGGTTACGGTGAGCTATCATGATGCACAGTTGATGGAGCCATATATGCCTGGCCATATGGGGCTAAATTGGTGGAGTTTCGTCTTTTAGCTGGAAATTAAATTATTGATTAAAAATCAATAAACATTATTGTATTTGACCACTTTTTTTTTTTTTTCGAACTAAAAGAAATAAAGCTTGCTAATACGTTATTACTAATGAGGAAGACAAGAAAAAAAGAAAAGAAATTAAAGGATATAAAACTTAAAAGGTTGCAACAGTTTTGAAGAATTGGGTCTTCAAAAAGATGGCTAAATGTAAAGCATCAAAGCGCTATATATTTCAATTATGGGATGGTGACTTGGGAGTCATACACGCATAAACTTCTGTTTTCTTTTTTCTTGTTCTTGTTCTTCTTTCATGTTATTATTTATTTTGTTTTTTCAGATAATCTTGTTTTGGTTATCTTATGCATACAATTGATAAGATTTTCGTCATTTAGCAATCAATACATGATTAACTAAAAAAATGATGATCCATTATTGTTTGATTGTTTGTAAATAATTGATACGTGCATTTTGTCAATTTCAGAATTAAAATAAGTCACCAAAAATCAGGTTTGGAAATTATTTATTTTCTCATGTTCGAATTCTAGAAGATTGTGTAATTAACTTTTATCTGAAGGTGATTCTGGTAAGGAGTGTTGATTTTCCTAGAGGTGTTCATGATAGGTTTTAGTCAATCCACCAACTGGTTTAAATTTAAAACATAATTAGAACATGATGTTATACTCGATATGTCAGTAAGAAATTTTATTTGCACTATCTATCGTTGGAAATTCCTCTTCAACTATTGAAACTGAAATAACAAGTTGTGTTTTATATTTTGTGTAACTTTTTTTTTTTCGAGATTATTCATCAACGAATTTCATCACAACGAAAAAAAAAGGAATAGAAAATCAGCTTACGAATTGGCAGTAGGTTTCCATGCTGTAAATGCATGTTTCTAAATTAGGTTAAAGGTTGTAAAGTGCAGTTATTATCCAATGAGTTTGTTGCGCAGGCTACGTGAGCATATGACTGTATTTGCCAATGAAATCAAAGCACTTACATATGCCCAAATGCAACTGATTCTACATATATCTATAAGTGGGAGGTAATTAATTAGTGTGCTTTGGTAATAAAACCGACAAAATAATGTCAATGTTACATGGAATAGTTGATTGTTTTTGGCTATATAAATGGTTGTCTGATTATGCATACATGGTTTGTTAGAAACGTTACCGCACAAAAAAAAAGAAAAAAGATAGACAATTGAAAAGTCCCACAAGTTGATTAATTAGTGCTCTTAATTAAAGATTTTTTTTTAATAATCTTTAAGACTGAATCTTTACAGCATATAAGATCAAGCATTCATCCATTTATGAGTGATCAGGAGTCTAACTAATGCATGTGACGTAGATAAATTCTGATATCCATCCACTATCATTATTCGTTTATCTATGAGCCTCGCTTTTTGTGAGGTAGCAACCGAACGGTCAGATTAATTTTAGCTAAGTTGTTAGAATTGCAATTAGATAATTAATTTTTGTGGTTGATTAGAGCTGACTCGTCATTATTTATTGTGATATATATCCACCGTGCTGACTTAACTGATTGATCCCTACTAAAAGTGAAAATCTCATTCACCCATTTACGATTATGGTATTTCTACCTGCTACATAAACGAGCTTCTATCCATCCATCAACTGTGATTACTCACTAACTATGAACGCTAATTTGGGTCGAGTAGTGATTAACTATAAACACTGGCGGAGTTGAGGGAGCTAGACCAGCACCGGCGGCTGCTCCTCTTTGCTGGAAATTTTTCTTCAAGAGTGGTTTAAAATTTAAGAGTAAATAATATATTTTTTTTGAATGTTTTTGCCTCTCTAATATAAAATCTTGTTCATTTCGCCCTTACAATCACAAAATCTTACTTCTTTACTGACTATATTTAAACGGTTAGATTTTAGCCAAATTCTTATAATTTGAATAGAATCTTGTAGGAAGATATAATGACGTTTTGGAGGGTGAGAGACAACATTGAAGATGGGAGGAAAATGCTATAATCTTATGGGCGTGGAGGGGGGGATTATTGTAATAAAAGAAATAGTTTTAAGTGGCACTCATGCATTTGGTGAATTGCTTAGTCTAATAACCATTTGATCTCTACTGTATATTTTATTTACATACTGGACAATAAGCGGACTTTAAATTTCAAATAATGACAGCCAAATTCAACAGCCACTCAAGCTCTTACCTTTATGCTAATTAAAATATACTAAACATTAACTATAAAGACTAATCCTTAAAAACATTGATTCATGGTGAAATATTAAATTAATTAATTAAAGGTCACATCAACGATATCTAATCTAATTGTGGCTAATCAAGAACAATTGTCACAATCTCATTTTTGTCTTTCAATTGCAACAGTGATATTAGTCTTCACCTTTAAAGAGAGTCAAAATTTCTTTCTACGCACCAATTTTATTTTTGAAAAAAGGGAGTCCAAAAATGTGGAGATCAAAGGCATAATTAGGGCCAGATATATGATCCTACCGATACCCAACAAATCACTGTTCATCACTTTCCCTTCACCAGTTGGTCTCCTACCACCTCATTTATTCTTACTGTTTGTTGTTGTAAGTTGTAGCCATTTGCTACCTCTTCTTTTGTACTATTTGATTTTTCGCCCCCACAATAAAGCTATTTATAAGCCACCCCACTACTATAACAGCTCCAAAAACATACTGTTTGTAAAGAAAATTTTCAGGTCATGATCCCATCAATCAACCTTTGTAAACATCGCATATGATCAATTTAGAGAAATTAAACAAAATAGGTTGATATGTACAGCAGCAGTAATGAAGCCAGAAACTTTATGAAAGGGTGCAAGATCTTAAAAATAACTATTAACATTGTACTATTTGAAAGCAGATGCGAGAAATAGTTGAAATTACCAATATAAATGTTATACTAAAATAACACATCTCCACTAAATAGAAAAACACGTTGGGTGTGGCCATACTTGTTTATCCCTTTGGCTTTGTCACCGTGTTGAAGGAAAGAAAAGTAACAACTTGGTTGGGAAATACTGATCAATCAACCTTTTAAGATGCAATTATTTCAGGGAATATTGGCAGGATGCCTTTCTATATATATGTATAATGTTCGAATTTGCCTATGGAAAAATGGGGAAAAAAGCTTTCATTGAAGGGTGAATAATGCAAAGCGGTCGCTTATCATCAATCTAGTTTTTGGTTTCCTTTCAGTCCCGACATGATAAGTTACTACAAAACAAAGTAATGCATCCATGTAAATTTTGGGTCCCTTAAGCACTATAGGTCCCTTAAGCACTAGAGACGGATTTGGGTTTGTTTGAATATGATATAAGTTGTGTTTAGAAACTTTATATATACTGAAAACAGTATAAATCTGAAAACTTATAATAATTTTTTTTTTTGAAACAGAAGAAATAACTTGTATCGTCTCAATTTCATAAGATTGCATATGTTAATTTTCAAAATGACACATGTA